ACATGGTGTTGTAGAAGTGCACACATGGTGTTGTAGAAGTACACACAGTGGGGTTGTAGAAGTGGACACATGGTGTTGTAGAAGTGCACACTGGGGTTGTAGAAATGCACACAGTAGGGTTGTAGACGTGCACACAGTGTGGTTGTAGAAGTGTACACACTGGGGTTGTAGAAGTGCACACAGTGGGGTTGTAGATGTATACACACTGGGGTTGTAGAAGTGCACACATGGTGTTGTAGAAGTACACATGGTGTTGTAGAAGTGCACACATGGTGTTGTAGAAGTGCACACATGGTGTTGTAGAAGTACACACAGTAGGGTTGTAGAAGTACACACATGGTGTTGTAGATGTACACACAGTGGGGTTGTAGAAGTATGCCTGCTCGAATAGAAGACAGAAAACAAAGGAAACATCCCCAAATGACAAGGAAGACCTGTGAAATCCTTGGGGAGCAGACACACTTGAACTCAGCTCCTCCAGCCTCAAGGTCTAAGCTGGACTTCACCTCAGAGGTTTGGGATCAGGCTCCACACCAAGCCTGCCCGTCGGCTGCGGCTCAGACCCCACACTGGACTAGAACGGGACCGTCCTGTCGTAGGGCCCCTCTGTGCACACGGCTCACCCTCTGCTCCCGTTTCCATCCAGGGCCAATGGAAATGTCCGTCCATCCAGAAGTGGACGTCCGAAATAGACTCGCTCAGCAGAGGCGGCAACTGAAAGCAGCACAGTGTCCGGGCCACGGGTGACAGAGTGGGTGACAGGGTGGAATGTGGCCAGCCGTCCCGGCCTGCAGGGCTCCTGGGCCCCAAGAGAGCGGCGGGGGGCAGCGGGGGCGGGGCTGGGCCCAGAGTCACATCCACGCCAAGAAGAAGCGCTGTGGGAAGGGGCTGACCAGCGCCTGGGGCCGGGGCTGCGCGGGGAGGGAGCCGCCCCCTCTCAGCTGCTCACTGCAGGTGGGCACGAGGGGGGCTATGAACCAGAAAAGCATTCGTGTCCGCGTCTGTGAGTTACGCCGGAGCCACAGAGCTGGTGCCATCGGTGCACACCCGTGGTCTGCCCTGTGCGCCTACGCACTCTGAGCCTTCCCCTTCCCCTCCCGTGGCCCACGCAGCCTTCCCCTTCCCCTTCCCCTCCCGTGCCCCACGCAGCCTTCCCCTTCCTCTCCCGTGCCCCACGCAGCCTTCCCCTTCCTCTCCCGTGCCCCACGCAGCCTTCCCCTTCCCCTTCCCCTCCCGTGCCCCACGCAGCCTTCCCCTTCCCCTCCCGTGCCCCACGCAGCCTTCCCCTTCTCCTTCCCCTCCCGTGCCCCACGCAGCCTTCCCCTTCCCCTTCCCCTCCCGTGCCCCACGCAGCCTTCCCCTTCCCCTTCCCCTCCCGTGCCCCACGCAGCCTTCCCCTTCCCCTCCCGTGCCCCACGCAGCCTTCCCCTTCCCCTCCCGTGGCCCACGCAGCCTTCCCCTTCCCCTTCCCCTCCCATGGCCCACATAGCCTTCCCCTTCCCCTTCCCCTCCCATGGCCCACGCAGCCTTCCCCTTCCCCTTCCCCTCCCATGGCCCACGCAGCCTTCCCCTTCCCCTCCCGTGGCCCACGCAGCCTTCCCCTTCCCCTTCCCCTCCCGTGGCCCACGCAGCCTTCCCCTTCCCCTTCCCCTCCCGTGCCCCACGCAGCCTTCCCCTTCCCCTCCTGTGGCCCACGCAGCTTTCCCCTTCCCCTCCTGTGCCCCACGCAGCCTTCCCCTTCCCCTTCCCCTCCCGTGGCCCACGCAGCCTTCCCCTTCCCCTTCCCCTCCCGTGCCCCACGCAGCCTTCCCCTTCCCCTTCCCCTCCCGTGGCCCACGCAGCCTTCTCCTTCCCCTCCCGTGCCCCACGCAGCCTTCCCCTTCCCCTCCCGTGGCCCACGCAGCCTTCTCCTTCCCCTCCCGTGCCCCACGCAGCCTTCCCCTTCCCCTTCCCCTCCCGTGGCCCACGCAGCCTTCCCCTTCCCCTTCCCCTCCCGTGGCCCACGCAGCCTTCCCCTTCCCCTCCCGTGGCCCACGCAGCCTTCCCCTTCCCCTCCCGTGCCCCACGCAGCCTTCCCCTTCCCCTCCCGTGGCCCACACAGCCTTCCCCTTCCCCTCCCGTGGCCCACACAGCCTTCCCCTTCCCCTCCCGTGGCCCACGCAGCCTTCCCCTTCCCCTCCCGTGCCCCATGCAGCCTTCCCCTTCCCCTCCCGTGGCCCACGCAGCATTCCCCTTCCCCTCCCGTGGCCCACGCAGCCTTCCCCTTCCCCTCCCGTGGCCCACACAGCCTTCCCCTTCCCCTTCCCCTCCCATGCCCCACACAGCCTTCCCCTTCCTCTCCCGTGCCCCACGCAGCCTTCCCCTTCCCCTCCTGTGGCCCACGCAGCCTTCCCCTTCCCCTCCCGTGGCCCACGCAGCCTTCCCCTTCCCCTCCCGTGGCCCATGCAGCCTTCCCCTTCCCCTTCCCCTCCCGTGGCCCACGCAGCCTTCCCCTTCCCCTTCCCCTCCCGTGGCCCACGCAGCCTTCCCCTTCCTCTCCTGTGGCCCACGGTCGTCCGCACATGGCTGGCCAGCGGGGGTCTGTCCTCACTCGGAGCAAGCCCGGGCCAAGCACTCGGACGACATCACCGTAGAACGAACGAGAAACAGTCCTCCCATCAAGACCGAATTTACGGAAACTACTTGTGTCTTCCCGGTGAGAAGACAAGCTCTGATTTTCAGGATGAAAGCTCTAGATGTTTCTGTTGCCAGGGGAGACATATAGGGGACTAGGGGCCCCCCGGGCGGCTCCCCAGGAAGCTCTAAGCACCCCAGCCTCTCTTCCCCTCCCCACCACATGGCACGGCACAGAAGGGCCACCGCACAGAGCTGAGCAGAGCCTCTGACCCAGGCCATGGCGCGGCCTGTGGCCACGTACTCCCCACGGTGACCATCCCGTGCACGGAGGCCAGAAAGACCAGGGAGAGCGAGGCGCGGCGGGGCAGGAGGCTGTGGTCCGCCTTTAGCTTCGCTGTGGGCCCAGGTGGCGTGTCGGCCCTTTCCAGCCAAGGCAGCTTCTAGACTCCGGCTTGGCGCCGCCCGGGCTGTCGGGAGGAGTTGGCATCGTGATGTGTGATGCTTGGCTGGCGCCCACCGAAGGTGAGCGCAGGGGCTTCCTGCTCTAACCAGCAGGTGGCCGGAGCGCTTCTCCCAGCTGATGGCAACATCAAACAGACCCCAGGGCCTGACAGGCCGGACTCTCTCGGAGAGGAGAGGATTCAGGCTGTCTGGCTGCTGAGCCCGTCTGTGCTCAGTAGACCCGAGTCCGACAAACGCTGGAGGTGATCGCATCCCCATCAGCACGGTGCGTGAAATGTGCGGCACAGCCCAGGTCTAGAAACGCTGGAGGAGACCGTCGGCTAACCTTTCTGTGAACAGCCAGTTCTCAAACAAGCAACACCGTGAGCCCAGCACCCAAAGGACTGGGGACCAGAGAGGGTATCAGTGAGCCGAGGACTTGGGTGCTGTTGCCCCTGGGGAATTTCTACCTCAGGGAGCTAGTAATGACGGCAGAAACCCTAATGTAAAGATGAGCCCTGGTAGGGCTCCCCAGAGCCCAAGAGCCATGGAAAACAGGCTGTGCCCCTTTCCAGGGGCCCCAGCGTGGGGGCACCTCCCCTTAAAGCTGCTCTGGTAGGCCTGTGCTCGTCCACTTCTGGAGTTCCTGCTTTACTGATATCCTGGCCTACAGAGTGCTGTATGGACAGGACGCCTCTGACCCTGCAAAAGGGAAGAGGGAGCCCGCCTTCCCCCAGTGGCCAAGCCGCTGGCCAGGCCACTGTGGGGAAAGGCGTACGTAGGCTGACGGTTGAAGCAGCAAACAACCCACAGCGATCACTCTCAGGTCAGTGGGGACTGGGAGTGTTTAGAAAAAAGCCTCAAACGTGAAAATGGGCGACCGTGGCTGCAGGGCCTGGGCGGGCCGGGGCTCCCTCGCTCTCGCCACCCGCACACGCCAACTATTGATGAGGACATTTTACAACTCCGTAGCAGATGTTACCCGGGAGGAAATTGATGCAATACAAGTGATTCTCTTTCTCATCACAATGCAAATGAATTTTGTCTGGTGGAAATGCAAATGACATGTCTCTGGCAGAACAGATAACCGCAAAGTTCAGGGTTTCGTCCTATAAAACAATAAACCGTCTTGTATCGAGTTTGGCAATCTTACCGACTTTACATCTTTCAGTAACTACAAATACTTCATCCCGTTCTATACTCTGTTGAATGACAATTAACATAATTCTTTCCTCTCATTAATGGTTTAAGTAAATCTTTGTCACACACCCATTGGTATTTGTAAGAGAAAAGCTCTGGTGATCTCCATATTGTTTAAGGGAGATGCACACTAGTAACACAACTTTGCTAAGCTCAATCTTCTTACTACTTCCAAAGAACAAATACAGACACACAGCTGCAGAGCAGGGCAACAATTTAAAGCAAACCAGAAAATGATCAAAATCAAACAGGCAGGGAGGGGTATTCAAAGAAAATGCCAGGATAACAGATAAAGTATAATGTAAGATTATGGGAAGATCCCCAAATTCCAGAATTTTGTTTTTAATGTGAAATGTCTACACTGACCAATGAAGAGACAGAAACTCTCAGATATGACGAAGAAAGAGACCCAGGGCTATGGATGGGTTGAGAAAGATGGGGGGGGGAGGTTGGGAAGGGTGACGTCCATCAGGAAGCATTGCACTTACAGCCAATGTGTGGAACTGAGACTACTGTGTACAACTACTTAAGGATGATGATGATGATGATGATATGAAGACTAAGAAGGAGAAGCCTAGTATGGTGATCTAAGAGGTATTTAAACGACTCTTTGCTCAAATACTGACTTGGGCTGGTGAATTCATTAAAAGCAGGGAAGGCACCCAGCTTCCCTTTGCCGCTGTCAGTAGAAACTGTTGTGAATTCTGAACTTTGGTTTAAAATCCCCAGGTTAAGAGAGTGTGATGTGGCCCTCTCGGGTGCTGTTGGGTGGTGGCAGTGAGTGGAGTATCTACCAGTACATCCCACCAGACTGGATGGCTGCTTACAAAGCCAGCTTACAAAGTCACCAGCACGCCAAACGCAAACGCAGGAACACACCAGGAGAGCCCTCCAGCACCAGCAGGCCCCTCTCGTAACAGTGAGCCTCGAAAGACACAGATATCTTTCAGCTGGAAAAAAAAGAAGAAGAAAAGGAGAAGAGTGACCATATTCAGTGGGGGGACCCTGCGGCTTCTTTCTACAGTGGATTTCAATGGGCAGTTACAGTGAATTAAATAAAGCTACCAGAGCCGAGAACCATGACGTGAGGTATTCAATGGGAGTTTTGAGTCTGAGCAGTGTCAGGATTAAAGGGCTCACGGGCCTGGATGGGGCGTTCACTGCTGTGCTGAGGGGAGGGGGGGGCGTTCACTGCCATGCCCCTGGGGGGGGGGGTGGACGGGGCGTTCACTGCTGTGCTCCTGGGGGGGGTGGACGGGGCGTTCACTGCTGTGCTGAGGGGGATGGGGTGTTCACTGCCGTGCTGAGGGGGATGGGGCGTTCACTGCCGTGCTGAGGGGGATGGGGCGTTCACTGCCGTGCTGGGGGGGGGATGGGGTGTTCACTGCCGTGCTGGGGGGGACCAGTGTAGAATCACAGAAGCTGGCCTTCTGTGAGAGGTCTTCCTGAGTCAGAATAAGGTAGACTTGACCGGGCACCCGGGGTGCAAAACTGACCCAAGGCTCCGCCTGGCAGAGGGCTGAGCCCCAGCTCCCGCTCTGCCCTGAGCTCAACACTCTTCTGGGTTGAACTGGAAGTCACCTGGTCCCTCAGCACCCCGAAGGCCAAGCGGCCCGTCCTCATCAACCAACCCCCCGTGGGCGTGGCCCTCTCCACCCAGCTGGATTCAAGACTGGCCTCACCTCAGCAGAATTCAAGAGCTGGAGTCACTCTCGGGGCGGGAGGGGCCACGTCCAGGGTTGAACTCGCTGGTCTGGAGCCCTGTGTCATAGTGACCCAACTCACCAGAGTCCAGAGTCCAGATGTGGGGCCTGCGGGGGGGGGGGGGGGCGGGGCACAGCAGAGTCCAGATGTGGGGCCTGCGGGGGGGGGCACAGCAGAGTCCAGATGTGGGGCCTGCGGGGGCGGGGCACAGCAGAGTCCAGATGTGGGGCCTGCGGGGGGGGGGGCGGGGGGCGGGGCACAGCAGAGTCCAGATGTGGGGCCTGCGGGGGGGGTGGGCGGGGGGGGGCACAGCAGAGTCCAGATGTGGGGCCTGCGGGGGGGGGGGCGGGGCACAGCAGAGTCCAGATGTGGGGCCTGCGGGGGGGCGGGGGGGGCACAGCAGAGTCCAGATGTGGGGCCTGCGGGGGGGGGGGCACAGCAGAGTCCAGATGTGGGGCCTGCGGGGGGGGGCACAGCAGAGTCCAGATGTGGGGCCTGCGGGGGGGCGGGGCACAGCAGGGTCCAGATGTGGGGCCTGCGGGGGGGGGCGGGGCACAGCAGAGTCCAGATGTGGGGCCTGCGGGGGGGGGGCACAGCAGAGTCCAGATGTGGGGCCTGCGGGGGGGCACAGCAGAGTCCAGATGTGGGGCCTGCGGGGGGGCGGGGCACAGCAGAGTCCAGATGTGGGGCCTGCGGGGGGGGTGGGCGGGGGGGGGCACAGCAGAGTCCAGATGTGGGGCCTGCGGGGGGGGGGGCGGGGCACAGCAGAGTCCAGATGTGGGGCCTGCGGGGGGGCGGGGGGGGCACAGCAGAGTCCAGATGTGGGGCCTGCGGGGGGGGCACAGCAGAGTCCAGATGTGGGGCCTGCGGGGGGGGGCACAGCAGAGTCCAGATGTGGGGCCTGCGGGGGGGGCGGGGCACAGCAGAGTCCAGATGTGGGGCCTGCGGGGGGGGGGCACAGCAGGGTCCAGATGTGGGGCCTGCGGGGGGGGGCACAGCAGAGTCCAGATGTGGGGCCTGCGGGGGGGGGCACAGCAGAGTCCAGATGTGGGGCCTGCAGGGGGGGGCACAGCAGAGTCCAGATGTGGGGCCTGCGGGGGGGGGGCACAGCAGAGTCCAGATGTGGGGCCTGCAGGGGGGGGCCGGGGCACAGCAGAGTCCAGATGTGGGGCCTGCGGGGGGGGGGGAGCGGGGCACAGCAGAGTCCAGATGTGGGGCCTGTGGGGGGGGGGCACAGCAGAGTCCAGATGTGGGGCCTGCGGGGGGGGGCACAGCAGAGTCCAGATGTGGGGCCTGCGGGGGGGGGGGGCACAGCAGAGTCCAGATGTGGGGCCTGCGGGGGGGGGGGGGGACGGGGCACAGCAGGGTCCAGATGTGGGGCCTGCGGGGGGGGGGGCACAGCAGGGTCCAGATGTGGGGCCTGCGGGGGGGGGGCACAGCAGGGTCCAGATGTGGGGCCTGCGGGGGGGGGGGCACAGCAGGGTCCAGATGTGGGGCCTGCGGGGGGGGGGCACAGCAGGGGCCCCTCCCCTCCTTTCCTGTTCCTGAAACAGCTGCAGGCCAGCAGCTTCTTCCTTGGTCAAAAGACACCTGCAATCTGCACACATTTCATTAATAAGATTCCTGTGCCAGAGAGAGAGAGAGAGACAGAGAGAGAGAGCAGCCAAAAGGCAGCCCCTAAGTTTGGGAGAAAACACTCACTCACACATCTTTCCTTAAGGAAGGGCGAGCCTCGAGGACGGGAGCGCCGCGAGGGCCCTGGGCAGCGGTGCCCCGTCCAGATGGCCCCTCGCCCTGCAGGCGCGCAGTGGGCTGGACCGGTCACTCCTTTCCACCGCTGCTGACACGCTCGCGGAGGTCTGTGTCTGGGCGTTTTTATCTTTACTGGGACTAATTTTAGAGACTGACAGAGATTGCCGGAAGGTTGTGGACAATTTAACCAGCACTGCCCCGCAAAATCCACAGCCCGGTGCCCAGGGGCGCGTTATCCGAACAAAGCGATGCCAGGCTCGGGAGGGGACAGACGTGCTGCCTGGACGGGGCTGCCCGTCACCCCGACACGCAGTCACGCCGTCACCCCGTCACCCCAACACGCCCTCACGCCATCACCCCGTCACCCCGTCACCCCGACACGCAGTCACCCCGTCACCCCGTCACCCCGACACGCCGTCACCCCCGACACACCATCACCCCGTCACCCCGTCACCCCGACACACCGTCACCCCAACACACAGTCACGCCGTCACCCCGTCACCCCGACACGCCCTCACGCCATCACCCCGTCACCCCATCACCCCGACACGCAGTCACCCCGTCACCCCGTCACCCCGACACGCCGTCACCCCGACACGCCATCACCCCGTCACCCCAACACGCCCTCACGCCATCACCCCGTCACCCCGTCACCCCGACACACCGTCACCCCAACACGCAGTCACGCCGTCACACCAACACCCCGACACCCCGTCACCCCGACACGCAGTCACACCGTCACCCTGTCACCCCGACACGCAGTCACACCGTCACCCCATCACCCCGACACGCCGTCACCCCAACACGCCATCACCCTGTCACCCCGTCACCCCGACACGCAGTCACCCCGACACGCCATCACCCCGACACGCCATCACCCCGACACGCATTCACACCGTCACCCCGACACACCGACACGCAGTCACCCCGTCACCCCTTCACCCCAACACGCCATCACCCCGACACGCCGTCACCCTGTCACCTCGTCACCCCGTCACCCCGTCACCTCGTCACCCCGTCACCCCGTCACCCCGTCACCGTCACCCCGTCACCCCACCACCCCGTCACCCCGTCACCCCGTCACCCCGTCACCCCGTCACCCCGTCACCCCGTCACCGTCACCCCGTCACCCCGTCACCCCGTCACCCCGTCACATTGTCACCCCGTCACCCCGTCACCCCGTCACATTGTCACCCCGTCACCCCGTCACCGTCGCCCCGTCACCCCGTCACCCCGTCACCCCGTCACCCTGTCACCCCGTCACCCCGTCACCGTCACCCCCGTCACCCCGTCACATTGTCACCCCCGTCACCCCCGTCACCCCATAACCTCGTCACCCCCGTCACCCCGTCACCCCGTCACCTTGTCACTGGTGCCTGACGCCAGCCCCAGACCTCACTGGGTCTCCAGTCCTGTCCTACGCACAGGGAGCCTGGCCGAGCCCTCCGCGTACCTGCAAGCCGAGTCGCCTGAGGTCCCAAGTGTGGGCTGTGGCAAGGACAGCCTGTTCCTGCCGGCTTGTCACGGTGCGGCGCTGACTACCGGCTTGTCACGGTGCGCTGTTCCGTTCCTGCCAGCTTGGCACGGTGCGGCATTGAAAGCCACCATTACCAGGGCCCTACCACATGCAGGTGCAGACTCCTGGAGAAGCGTGTGTATGTGTGTGCATGTGTGTGCAAGTGTGCGTGCATGTGTATGTGCATATGCAGAAGAGCAGGCCGGGGCAGGACGCTCCCTAGACCACCAGCAGAGCCCCTGAGCGAGGCCAGCGTCATACCTTCCTTCCTGGCAGCCTGACTCCAGCCTGGGGACCGAGGGCCCTGAGTGGCAGACATGGCAGACACACAGGCAGCAGGGGTTTCTCTTCCTCCCACTTAGACATGTCTGTTTGTGGCTGAAGCCCTGGAACCCAATCTAGGACCGAGCGTGGGCAGCTGCGGCTGCCATCTGGCACGCTCTCAGCCTCTGTGAGAGTCGTCCTGTCTTCCCAGCTGCTGGGGTAGGGGCACCCCCCCGCTCCCCCCACACCGTCCCCCTCTTCCCGCGGCATCTCCAGACACACTGTCTCTTTCACTCGACCTGGCTCCCAGCTTGACCGCCGTACAGGGAGGGACACATTGCCGCGCTGCACATCTTCATTCTGCTTGATTCCTGAGGAGGGGCCTGATGCTTGTTGTCTTTCTAAGAGGTTGATAAAAAAAAAAAATCAAATGAAGACATTTTGTGTCATAAAAATAACATTAAATTTCAGCGCCCAAGTCACGTTTCCTGCAGGGCCGACTCCCTGCTTTGTCTCGTGTGGCCAGCATGTGGGTGGGTCACACGGGGCTGGACAGAGCACAGAGGAGCTGCCCAGCTGACCACGTGGCCATGAAGCCCGCATGGCGACCTGGGAAACATGCATGTTAACCCACGAAGTCTGCAGAGCAACCCAGGAAACATGCATGTTAACCCATGAAGTGTGCATGCCAACCCAGGAAGCATGCATGTTAACCCACGAAGTGTGCATGCCGACCCAGGAAACATGCATGTTAATCCACGAGGTCTGCACGCCAACCCAGGAAACATGTATGTTAACCCACGAAGCCTGCACAGCAACCCAGGAAACATGCATGTTAACCCATGAAGCCTGCAAGCTGACCCAGGAAACATGCATGTAACCCACAAAGCATGCACACTGACCCAGGAAACATGCATGTTAACCCACAAAGCCTGCACACTTCCAGGAAACATGCATGTTAACCCATGAAGCCTGCACAGCAACCCAGGAAATATGCATGTTAACCCATGAAGCCTTCAAACTGACCCAGGAAACATGCATGTAACCCACAAAGCATGCACACTGACACAGGAAACATGCATGTTAACCCACAAAGTGTGCACAGCAACCCAGGAAACATACATGTTAACCCATGAAGTGTTCACAGTGACCTAGGAAACATGCATGTTAACCTATGAAGCCTGCACACCAACCCAGGAAACATGCATGTTAACCCACGAAGCGTGCACAGTGACCCAGGAAACATGCATGTTAACCCACGAAGCGTGCACAATGACCCAGGAAATATGCATGTTAACCCACAAAGTGTGTATGCCAACCCAGGAAACATGCATGTTAACCCACAAAGCATGCACAGCAACCCAGGAAACATGCATGTTAACCCATGAAGTGTGCATACTGACCCAGGAAACATGCACATTAACCCACAAAGTGTGTATGCCAACCCAGGAAACATGCATGTTAACCCATGAAGCCTGCATCCTAGCTGGGAAACATGCATGTTAACCCACGAAGTGTGCATACCAACCCATGAAGCATGCATGTTAACCCATGAAGGCTGCATGCTGACCCATGAAGCACACTATTAACCTACACAATATATATTAACCCACAAAATGTACATGCTAACATATAAAGCTTACATGATAGCACATGAGGTGCATATGCTAACCCACAAAGCATACATGCTAATCCACAAAGCATACACACTAACCCACAAAGCGCACACACTAACTCACAAAGCGCACACGCTTACCCACAAAGCACACATGCTGACTCTCTGTGTTTTCAGAGCCATTTTCCACCCCAGCTGGAGCAGGCAGGCTCTCTCTCAGGACAGGCCAGCCCGCTGCTGTGTTCCTTTGGGTGTTTTCCTGTCTGTTTACCATTGTTACTGACTTTCATTATTTGATTTTTCACTTTTTTTTTGTCAGTTGTGGGGCTTGAACTTTGAGCCTGGGCGCTGTCCCTGCGATCTCAAGGCAAATCCTCTACCACTTGAGCCACAGCACCACCTCCGTGTTTCTGGTGGTTTATTGGAGATGAGTCTCACAGACTTTCCTGCCTGGACTGGCTTTGAACTGCAATCCTCAGATCTCATCCCCTCAAGTAGCTAGGATGACAGGTGTGAGCCACCAGCACTTGGCTTCACTTTTTTTTTTTTTTTAAAGAATAATATGTGTTTGCTGTAACAAGTTTGAACATTTAAAGATCAACATAATAAAAATCATTTAGAATAGTTCTGTAGCCATCTTCTGCATTGGTAGAAAGAGTTATATCCTAAGCTCGGATGCATAAGATGCTTATAACCATTGTGTACCACATCACACATGACCTTCTGTGTGTCAGACATGATCACACTGCATGTTACACACAATCACACTGGGTGTATTACATTTGATCGTGCTGTGCATGTCACACAAGATCCCACTGCATATTACATGCCATCACGCTGCGCATGTTAGACGTGACAACACCGTGTCATCGGTGATCACATCACATGTGTTACATTAGGTCACACTGCACGTGTTTGGCTTCACTGTACATGTTGCATATGATCATACTGCCTGGGTTACAACTTATTCAATGTGTTAGAGATGATGACATGGAACGTGTCATGATCACCATGTGTGTTACATTGGATCACAATGCATGTGTTTGGCCACACGGTGCACACTACACATGACCACACTGTTCAGGTTACAATCAGACTGCATGTTAGACGTCATCCCATGTCTAATTACCGCGTGTTTCCCATGACGGCACTGCGTGCTACACACAGTCACACAGGGTGTGTCACGTGTGATCACATGGTACATGTGACAGCGGGGTCATGGGAGGGGGCTGGAGGCCAGGCCTGGTGGCCCCGGGCTGCTTGGACCACCCACCCCCTGGCAGGCCTCTCCCTCTACCCTCACCTCCTAGTCCAGGTTAGCTGCCAAAGCGAGCCGCAGAGCTTACAAAGAACGGAATCCCTATTAGTCTTTTCTGCCTCCTCCTCCCTCTCCTCTTGCCAAGACACACAGAAACTCTGGCCCGCAGAATTCCCACCAACACGCCTTAAAATTCCTGTTGATGTCTCTGCCACTCCCTAAAATTCCAGGCACCAAGCAGCGACCGCCCCTCTCTCCTCTCTCTCTGCTTGAAATTCTTCACTGGCCAGGCTGCGGCCAAGACAGTCTTCCTGTCCCTCCTGCTGCCCTACGCCCACCCAGCCATGCCCCCGGGACCCCCATCGCAGCCCTCCCCACCAGACGCAGCCACGCCCCCAGGACCCCTGTCCCAGCCCTCCCCACCAGACGCAGCCACACCCCCGGGACCCCCGTCCCAGCCCTCCCCACCAGACGCAGCCACACCCCCAGGACCCCCGTCCCAGCCCTCCCCACCAGACGCAGCCACACCCCCGGGACCCCCGTCCCAGCCCTCTCCACCAGACGCAGTGACCCCTTCACCAACTGACCAGACGGTGACGGTTCCCTCCAGTGCTGAACTCCACTCAGCCACGCCCCCAGGACCCCCCATCCCAGCCCTCCCCACCAGACGCAGCCACACCCCCGGGACCCCCGTCCCAGCCCTCTCCACCAGACCCCAGGACCCCCAGTCCCAGCCCTCCCCACCAGACGCAGTGACCCCTCCACCAACTGACCAGACAGTGGGCTCCCTCCAATGCTGAACTCCACCCAGCCACTCCCCTGGGACCCCCAGTCCCAGCCCTCCCCACCAGACACAGTGACCCCTTCACCAATTTACCAGTCGGTGATGGTTCCCTCCAGCGAGAACTCCAGAGGGACCACCCAGACGTGTGAGGAGGCAGAAATGGGGGGTGGGAGGAGAGGATATGGAATAGAAATCACAACAGATTAAAACCATTCAAGAATTAACAAATACTGCCGGGAAGGTGGCTCAGTGGTAGAGTGCTTGCCTACAGTGCATGAAGCCCTGGGTTCCATTCCTCAGAATCAGATACACAGAAAAAGCTGGAAGTGGCACTGTGGCTCAAGTGGTAGAGTGCTAGCCTTGAGCAAAAGAAGCTCAAGGACAGTGCCCAGGCCCTGAGTTTAAGATCCAGACTGGAAGAAGGAGGAGGAGGAGGAGGAGGAGGAGGAGGAGGAGAAGGAGGGAGGAGGAAGAGGAGGAGGAGGAAGAACAGATACACTGAGCTTGATGAAAAGGATCTGTGAGCGGCCAGTGCATGAGGTGTCTGGTGATGACCCAGACGCGCTGTGGACAGCGGGAAGATGGCCCGGTCTTCCCAATGTGCGTGTTTATGGAGCATGAGTTCCACGATGGATGGCTGTGAGATAGTGCCATCCCAAGGTCTGTGGAGTTTCCCTTTAAAAGTAGGAACTCAGCAGATGACACGGTGCACAGGAAATGTCCTCGTCACCTGACTCCTAAGCGCAACCCTCTGCATATCACCTCTATAGAAATAAGAAAGTAAATTTAAAACCAGTGTGAGCTCTTCCCTTAGGGTCCTTGACTGCGGTGATCACAGAGTAAGAATTTCTGGGCGAATCACAGTGGGATTTTATTGAGTAAGTAAGCTAGCAAGCAGCAGACAAAGGCAAAACCGCAACACACTCTATCAGCATGTGGGTGCTGGAGAGGGGAGGCGCACGGCTCTTTGGCGTCAGGGTGTTTATTTGGTAATGGCCGGGTCTGACATGAAGATAGGAGTTCATCTCTGCTTTCAGTCACTCTTGGTGTTAACACACTTCCTACATTTCTGGCTTTTGGTTACCCTTCTGGTTGTTGGCATTTCGGGCCCACCCTTTGGTTACTTTGGGGAGCATTTCTCTCAGGAAGGGACATGTCCTGTTGTCATTCTCTGAAGCAGAGCGCACCTGTGCTTCGAGATAGCATGTTTCTGAGTTGCCTCACCAAGCCTGTTTCCTCAATTTAACTTGTCTCATTTCCCCCTAAAATGCTGTTGGTCCTATACTCTAACGGGAGGTGGAGGATGGACATCTGTATTTGCTCTTAGCTGGAGATGATTGAATTTCCGGCAGTATTTACCATGCCTTGGTCTTCCTCGTCCACCCTCTCACCTGCACAGGCCACAGGTCACGCCTTGGACTTGGGCTGCTCTGGGGCTGGCTCTGGCGTTGGGTTGGCTTTGGTGGGGCAAACCTCCTCACGGCAGTCCCTCAGCCCTGCCACAGCGAGAATGCCCACGAGCTGCTGACGGTGGGGACGGTGGGGACGGTGGAGGGGGCTCACCAGGAGCCAGGCGGGTGCTGTGCTAGAATCCTCACCTTCTGTGGAAAGACAGAGATGTGGCGGCTTCAACATCGCTCCACACGCACACTGCTCCAGAAGATTCCTTCCCTCCGGCGGCTGCCCCGTGCCCCGTACTGAGAATGAACGGCACTGGTGTGTCCTCGGGGCTCTCAGGCCAAGCCTGAGGTGTGGGCAGGAAGCAGCGACGCACCTTGTCCGGTGGCTGTAGTCTGGTGTCTGCGCCCCCACAGGCACACATGGGGGAAGTCGGGGCATCTGGAAGGAGATTAGGACACTGCTGGAAAATGACAGACTAGACACACTCACCTTTACCCCCACAGCACCATTTTAGAAATGCGCTTGCTGCAGACCTCCAGGATCATCTCCCTCAGCTCCCCCTCCCTAGACAGCTGTGGAAGAGATAACCCATGCAACGATGGCCAGACTGCAGACACGCCTGCTGACAACAGCTGCTGCAAACACACACACACACACACACACACACACACACACACACACACACACAGCCCTCCCTATAACTCAAGAGAAGATCCGATCTCCGCACAAAGAGCCCCTTCTCCTGTTCCCGTCCCATGACAAATGACCCCTGCCCCCTGCCCTGCATAACTTAGCTCTCTCTACCTAATAAAATGAGACCTTAGCTGTAAGGAAATCATGCACCATTTCTTCTCCAGCCAGGCTGATGATTGGTTGCCTTTCCCAAGTTGTTCAGTAAAACCTGTTGGGCTGTGAGTTGTCTTTCTTTTCCTTAGCATTTCCTAGCAGACAGCATTCCAGGATCTAAGAAGAGGCTGTATTGTGCTGCCCTGTGAATCTGCGGGCCACGCCCACAGGACGTGACCACGCCCTCCAGGGAGTTCCATTTCTGCTGCTCACGGCCACCTGCTGGTGCGTCTGTAAAGGCAGGGACCTGGGAGCAGGCTGCCATGGCCGCCACGGCCGATGTCAAGGGCCTGTGGCTGGCTGTATTCCTCTCAAGGATGATTTAGCTGAACTCGAAAGGTGTCGAGGCAGATGGAGCACGTGTTGCAGATGGGTTTGGGGCTGGGGCTGCAGCCGTGTGGATAATGAGACCCTCTGGGGTTGGCCTCAGCAGCAGGACGGGCGCTGGTGGTGTTTAGCCTCCTGCGGGCACAGAGGAGCTGCTGGGGTCCGGGCTCACAGGAGCGGGCGGAGGCGGGACATAGCAGGGCAGGCTAAGAAGGCCATACCCGCTTGTCTGCGTGGCCTGAGCACATCCTCACCCCAGCCGAGCCGCAAGGCCAAGAACTCTGTCCCCCCCCCCCCTTCAGAACTGCAAAGGATGTACGGCAGGGGTGTGCAGATGTGTGCGTGCAGGGGCGAGAGTGTGCAGGCGTAGACATGTGTACACAGGCGTGAGCAGGCGTGTGCTGTGGGTCCCACTGAGGCCCAGCCTTGGGGGAGGGCATGAGAACCATCCGCCGCCAGAGCTGAGCCTCAGGCCCGCAAGCAATTTGTGCAGACTTGGATGCTTTCCTTCACCATTCTGAATGAGGTCCTTTCGTCTGTTAACTGACGGAAACAAGTCAAGCTCTGGTGCCACACCTGCAAACCCTGCTGCTCACGGGCTGAGATCCCAGGGTCACAGCTGGAAGCCAGACCAGGCGGAAAAACTCCCCAAACTTGCATTTCCAATTAACGAGCAAAAACCAGAGGTAGAGATGTGGCCCAAGAGGTAGAGTGCCAGCCTTGAGAAAAAACTAAACAGCCAAGCAAGAGCATGAGGCTCTGAGTTCAATGCCCAGTGCTGCAAATAATAATAATAAAAAAATACAATAAAATTAGAGGGAGAGAAAATAATGGGGATAAAAACCTCACAGGACTTCTGCGAATGTGAGCCAAACATGCCAGCAAATGCTTTGTGCAGCCAGGATGCAGAAGCAGTTAGGAAGTGGCAGGGGATTCGAAGGAGGGAATGAACGTCAGGTCTGGGAAATTCCCCGGGCTGGAAACCTTATTTAAAAACATTCTTTTGTGTTGAATCCCCTCCTTTAGAATGCACTTTTGGTGAACGCGAGCCGAGAGGCTGTGTTGGTGGATTTGGTTACGGGACGGGGGTGGACAATCCACAGACTCGATGACTGAGGGCCGCGGTCATTCACGCCCGGCCTCTAGCAGCTGCCCTGGACTCTGGGGAAGAGGCTCAGGTTCCTGGCCCGAGGCCTGGGCTGTGGGAGTCCAGGACCCACCTTCATCCCCAGGGGCTCTATGGGCGACCCGAAAGGCTGGCAGACCTGGGGCTGAGCTTCTCAGGGTGTGCTGGGAGTGCCCCCGCCCCCGCCAGCCCCCCGCCCGACCTGCCGGGCAGCACAGGTGCAGCCCCCATCCATCAGGCTGCCCTGGGAGTGTGCACCCACCCCTGGCCCTGAGGGGCAGCGCAGGTGCAGCCCCCATCCATCAGGCTGCCCTGGGAGTGTGCACCCACCCCTGGCCCTGTGGGGCAGCGCAGGTGCAGCCCCCATCCATCAGGCTGCCCTGGGAGTGTGCACCCACCCCTGGCCCTGAGGGGCAGCACAGGTGCAGCCCCCATCCATCAGGCTGCCCTGGGAGTGTGCACCCACCCCTGGCCCTGCGGGCAGCGCAGGTGCAGCCCCCATCCATCAGGCTGCCCTGGGAGTGTGCACCCACCCCTGGCCCTGCGGGCAGCGCAGGTGCAGCCCCCATCCATCAGGCTGCCCTGGGAGTGTGCACCCACCCCTGGCCCTGAGGGGCAGCACAGGTGCAGCCCCCATCCATCAGGCTGCCCTGGGAGTGTGCACCCACCCCTGGCCCTGCCGGGCAGCGCAGGTGCGACCCTCCCCCCAGGCTGTGTCCACCAGTGCCAAGCACTCGCTGGCATGGCCAGACTCGACAAGCGCAGGGCCAGCAGCGAGAAACCCCACAGATGGAGAGGGGCTCCGCCCAGCCACGGCGGGACAGCCTAGTAGAACATCAAGAGCCGGAGGGAAGCTGCCTTGGCTCCATCAAAACGCTTCTCAGCACAGACATCAGCGCCAGTCCTGGCTCTGAGGACCTGCCACCTGAGGCTGGGGTGGGGTCCAGCGTGGGGTGGGGCCCAGCATGGGGTGTCCAGTGTGGGATGCCCAGCGTGGGGTGTCCAGCCTAGGGTGGGTGGCAGCATCCAGCGTGTAACCTGGAGGGTCCACAGCGGCTGGACAGGGATGGTAGATGACGGACACAGGTGCCTGTGGTGTGGGCTCTTGGGGCACGTGGTCTGCAGAGCTGGGCGCTGGTGTGTGGTGTGAAAGGGTTTCATTCTCTAACCTGCATGTGGCCCACACAGACTCTGCTCTGTTGCCTGTGTGTCCCAGTTGGTGATGAGAAGTCTGAAGCCGAGAATGGAGAGAGCCGGCAGCGGCCCCCTGCAGCGTCCATGGCCTCCGTGGCTCTACATGAGCATCATGACGGGCAATCTTCTCCACTAGTGACCTGGCAAGCATGCCCAGGACAGCTGGGACCACCTGCCACACCCCAACCACCACACAGGGACCGCCCACCACACCCCAAACACCACACAGGGACCGCCCGCCACACCCCAACCACCACACAGGGACCGCCCGCCACACCCCAACGCACCTGCCACAGGCAGGACCACCCTCTGTGGCAGAGACTGAGTGCAAAGCAATAGAGTCGATCTTGTGCTGATATCGGACAGTCTAAAATTAGACTTGTTCCTTCTGCCAGCATGGTGGGTCTCACCCCCACATCACTGAATGACAGTTCCCTGGGCTCCGCGGGTGCACATGTGCACACACACATGCACCTGCGCAGTGTACTCTGGGCACCCAAGAGGCCAGTCTACTTGGAAACCAGCTCCGAAGCCCTCAAGTCTGACACCCCCTCAACCTCACGGCTGTGGGTCTCTGTGGACAGTGTGGCTCCCGTGGACTCACAGCTGTGGGTCTCTGTGGACAGTGTGGCTCCTGTGGCTTTGTGGCTGTGGGTCTCTGTGGACAGTGTGGCTCCCTTGGACTCACAGCTGTGGGTCTCTGTGGACAGTGTGGCTCCTGTGGCTTTGTGGCTGTGGGTCTCTGTGGACAGTGTGGCTCCTGTGGCTTTGTGGCTGTGGGTCTCTGTGGACAGTGTGGCTCCCGTGGCTTTGTGGCTGTGGGTCTCTGTGGACAGTGTGGCTCCCGTGGTTTTGTGGCTGTGGGTTTCTATGGACAGTGTGGTTCCTGCGGCTTTGTGGCTGTGGGACTCTGTGGACAGTGTGGCTCCCGTGGCTTTGTGGCTGTGAGTCTCTGTGGATAGTGTGGCTCCCGTGGTTTTGTGGCTGTGGGGTCTCTGTGGACAGTGTGGTTCCCGTGGCTTTGTGGCTCCCATGGCTTTGTGGCTGTGGTAACATTACCAGGTTTCCATAACTGCAGAAATAGTCTCAGCCAGGCCTGGGCTCTGCTGGACCCGGGCGCTGGTTCCTCCCAATGCTGGAGCCTAAGCGGCCTGGCCTCTTGGGAGCGCCAGCCCCGTGGGAATGCGGCCTGGCTCTCAGCCACCGCCTCTGCTGTGACCTTTGCACCCAATATGTAGCTGGAGCAGGTGGAAAGGGAGGGGAAGGGAGGAGGGCTTTGGGCTTTGCCGAGGTCCTGTGGCAACCATGACTCAGAGTTTCTGAGCACTAAACAAAGAGGGCGGGCGCAGCGCCTTCCGAAATAATCATTTGTGTTTGTGGACACCTCTGGAAGGAGCAGAGGGAGTTCTGTGGTTTACCTCCCTTCTCAACCATGCACACGTGTGGGCACACGTGCACACAGTGCTCAGGAGGACAGAGGAGCGGCCCACGTGTCCTTTCCTGGAGAAGCGGCCTGCTGTGGGATGATGGTGGTGAGGGCTGGGCCAGGACCCCAGGTGCGTGGAGCAGAGTCTGGCAGAAGGGACGCGATCCCATGTGCGTCCTCACGTGAGCCCAGCGCGATGAAAACCCGGAACCACCCCGGTGCCTCGGATCGACGGGGACCCCAAGGAGCTGGGCTCAGCCAGGCAGAGGCTCTGAGAGCCGGAGCCTGGTGTGGGGTCCCATCCTCGTGGGACCTGGCTGGTGTCTGCCCCGGCCAGCAGCAGAACGGGTGAAACCTCCCCTCCGCGCCCCCCCCCCCCCGCCCACTGCACAGCGTCAACAGCGCAGGGTGGGCGGAGGCCGGCTCCAGCTCAGCCACCGTGGGTGTCGATGGCCGTGTTGCTCACTGGAGTTGAACGTCCGAACCCCATGCACGCTGCTGGCAAACTACGCCACAGATCTCAGATCTGGATGGGGTGAGGAGGCGCGGTGACCCACGCAGACACGGGGCGGGAGGCGGAGCCACGCAGGACGAGACCTGCCGACCTTTGGAACACAGAGCCTCACCCTCACACCATTTCCTGCTGTGGCCCTGCTTCCCAAAGCCAAGGGAAGATGGGAGCCGTGTAAAACGCTGCGCAGAAAACTGTAGCAAAAAATCCTCACTAATGTTTCTTCTTTAGAACTACAGTGAACACATAATCCTGTGATCCGTGGGGGAGGGGAGGTGAATCTGTTTGCAAATCTCCAGTTTCATGTTGTTGACTTTGAATTTGAGTGACTTTAAGCGAATTTGCTTTATGTGATTAATGAAGACCTCCAGAGAGTAGAGTTCAGGTTCTGAAACAAGGAGACTTTGTTGCTAGTCCATGTGCCTGCAGTGGCTGTGTGACTTTTGTGTTCTCTCCAGCCTCTCTGTGGCACTTTCCTTATCTGCTGGGACTAAATGAGATCCTGGATTTAAAG